GGATTCTGGTTTTCGTTCAAGATAGTATCCCTGACACTAGAATCATAAGCTCTTGTTGAAGAATTACTTAAGCAGATCCTGGATTCTAGTGGAACAACTAATACCAACCAGTTTAAAGACCCCCACAGAGGAACCAAATCAGCAAGAGAATACCATTTCTTCATCTCCCTGCCCCATGACTTCACCCTGTAATTTTCAACCAATCAGTGGTCTCCACACTTTGGCCCACTCCAAAACCCCCAAACTCCTCTGGGGGACACATTTGAGGTTTCTTCGTGTCTCCTCATTCGGTTGTCCTAAGATTTAAAGTTCTTTTACTGCTGTAGCCCAGTGTCTCAGTGTATTAGTCTGTTTATGTTGCTATAAAGGAATACCTGAGAAGGGTAATTTATAAAAAAAGAGATTTATTTTGCCTCAGGGTTCTGCAGGCTCTACAGGAAGCATGATGCTGGCAACTGCTTCTGGTCAGGGCCCCGGGAAGCTTACAATCATGGCAGAAGGTGAAGGGAAACCAGTGTGTCACATGGCAAGAGTGGAAGCAAGAGAGATGCCAAACTCTTAAACAACCAACTCTCATGTGGACTAATAGAGTGAGAATTCATTACCACAGGGAAGGCACTTCATGAAGGATCTGTGCCCATGGCCCAGACACCTCCCAGCAGGCCCACCTGCAACATTGGAGATTACATTTCAACATGAGGTTTGGAGGAGACACACATCCAAATCATACCACTCAGTGTACTGACTTACCACATGCATGGGCAATGAACCTATTACGGTTACGTAAGGAGTGGGAATCACCCACCTGCCGTCAACCGCTTCAGACAAGCCTCCTCTGGGTGACCTAAGTAGGCATTTGGTTCCTCTCCCATCACTGGAAATTTCTGTCCTTTCCTTTATACATATGCTCACTCTTCAGCATAATTTCTCGCCTCAACCATCTTCACCCAGTAGAATGGGATCATGATGATACTCTAATGACCATTCCTTTCTCACCTCCTTATATAGCTAAAACATCATCCAACTTTTTTTTTTTTTCTTGAGATGGGGTCTTGCTCTGTTGCAGCCCAGGCTGGAGTGCAGTGATGTGATCTTGGCTCACTGCAACCTCTGCCTTCCAGGTTCAAGCAAATCTCTTGCCTCAGCCTCCCCAGTATCTAGGGTTACAGGCACGCACTACCACACCCAGCTAATTTTTGTATTTTTGTTAGAGATGGTTTCACCATGTTGGCCAGGCTGATCTTGAACTCCAGACCTCAGGTGATCCACCTGCCTCAGCCTCCGAAAGTGCTGGGATTATAGGCGTGAGCCACCGCGCCTGGCCATCATTCAACTTTTTATCCCAGAAAAGGTGGAAGGCATATATTTCTCTAAAACAGACTGGAAAACTACAGGCTGCCACTTGTTTTGGTAAACAAAATTTTATTGGAACACAGCCACACTCATTAGTTTACATATTTTCTATGTCTGCTTGTGACTACAATGGTAGAGTTGTGAAGTTGTGACAGAGACCTTATGGCCTGCAAAGACTAAAATGTTTACTATCTGACGCTTTACAAAATTTGCCAACCCCTCATCTAAAATATAGATGAATTTCATGTCAGTCCTTTAAGTTCTGAAAGAACTTCATTAGTATGTATATGTAGCCTTTATCATTTAAAGGCTCTAATAAAAACTACATTTGAAACAAAATTGCATGGCTGCACTATAGGGGCAACTTTTGCATCTTGTAAAATTGTTTCTAGCCTTAAAAACTTATTGAAAAATATGAAGGGAATTGTGTGTTTGCTTTGAAGGACCAGAAGGAAGAATAAAGTCTTACACCAGTCAGAAGTATTTGATGTCACCATTGAATAGGGAAGAAAACAGATAATCTGTGGGGCCTATGGAAGCAAAAAGGAGAAATGAAAGCTGTCTGCAGGACAAGAAGGCATAAGATCCTGCCTTCAGCGCTCCCTATCGGAGTCCTTGGCTCCTCTCTTCACACCCTGTTCCCTAACTCAGAGTCTAGTTTCCTCCCACCTTGGCCCTCATGCATTGCAACTGTTCACCAGACCACAGAATCCCCAGAGATGTCAAGAGACTGGGTTCTGCTCCCACTGTGACTGCTTTCTATGTGGGAAACCTTGGGCAGGTCCCTGAGTGCCTCTGCCGCTTAGGTTTCACTCTTTTGTAAATTGGGGGTGGGCAGAGTTATCTTACTGTGCTTGCCCAACAGTAATCAAATGTGATGTTTTTTAAAAGCCTATGTGAAAGGTAAGGTATTATGAAATTGTCAGTGTTTTTTTGTTAAAATGTCTGAGTTGCAAATGAATTTTTTTTATCCAATATATAAATTAGAGTTAACTGATATTTGAAAACTTAAGTACCTTATTTCATATTTCTCATATCCATTTTTGCTTATTTTTTAATAGTATTTAACTTTTATATGGATTAGAGAAAATATAGAAAATAACTGAATTTTTACCATAATAATTCTTTAATGGGTGGAAAAAATTTCAAAAATTATATTTCATTGTGATCCATTCTTTTCTGTTTGTTGTTTGTTCAGCTTTCATTTTTGTGCCTTTGTTTACAGAGAAACAATCTTACAGATGGCAATTTCCTTGTAAGCAGTTATTGTCCTATCTGAGTCATCGCCAGACATGGCATTTCAGTAAATAGTGATTCAGCAATTGCTTCCAGGCAGATATGTTGTGTGAAGTTAAGAACACTGGCTGATAACCTTTCTGGGTTTTTCAAGCAGTAGGGAGAAAGTTTTGTGTAGATACACACCTTGAAATCAGAAAATGGCAAAGGAAGCACAGACTTTGTGCTGGATGATTTTAACCAAATATACTGTTTGTGTGACTATGGATGAACAGTAATCTTTTTAAAAGATAAATAATATTTCTTCGAGTAAAGGACCTTTTATAGTGAGTTATACGTATTTTGTTAGAAACATCATGCATGTACATTGTTAAGCACAACTTTGACCTTGTTGTACAGACATGTGTATTACTTTGGCCACTCAGGTTCCTGTGGTCTCATGCCTTTAACTAAGCAAACCAAACTCCTCATACGTTGGTTTCTCCAATGTAAATTGGAGGTTCTCTTATCCCTCACTTTCAGAGATGGGGGATTTCTTTTGCTTCACAAATATGTTTTTACAAACATGTATGCTCAAATATAGTTTTTATTATGTATCATAAAGTCTTATCTTGTCACTGTTTTTTCCTGAGATGGAGTTTCGCTGTCGTTGCCCAGGTTGAAGTGCAATGGCGCGATGTCGGCTCACTGCAACCTCCACCTCCTGGGTTCAAGCGATTCTTCTGCCTCAGCCTCCTGAGTAGCTGGGATTACAGGCATGCGCCACCACGCCCAGCTAATTTTGTAATTTTGTAGAGACGAGGTTTCACCATGTTGGTCAGGCTGGTCTCAATCTCCTGATCTCAAGTGATCCACCCATCTTGGCCTCCCAAAGTGGTGGGATTACAGACGTGAGCCACCACGCCTGGCCTTGTCACAGTTTTACCATGAACTACAAAGAGAAGTTCACTAATTATTCAACTAATATTTATTGAACACCTATTGTGTGCTGGGCCCTGCCCAACAGTAATAATGTTGCACAAAACAGAGAACGAAGTAATAGGATGGAATATGCATTGTAAACATTTTGCGGGTTAATTTATCTTAAATAAATAAGCTACCAATTTTGTTCTTGTTTCATGATTTTATAATTTAACAGGCTTATATATTTTTTAATACTTTAATCACACTTTTTTAAAAATTGCAATAGGTTTTGGGGGAACAGATGGTGTTTGGTTACAGGAATAAGTTCTTTAGTGGTGATTTCCGAGATTTTGGTGCACCCATCACCCGAGCAGTGTACACTATACCCAAAGTGTAGTGTTTTATCCCTCACCCCCCAACCAACCCTTTCACCTGAGTCCCCAAAGTCCAATGTATCATTCTTATCAACAGGCTTATATTTAATCCTTTACAATTTTCATGAGACTCTTCCTTGACTATAGCCATTAGTAAACTAAACTTTTGTGTTGCATATGGAGAAGTTAAGCTTAGACAAGATTTTCATACTTTATCTCCAGTCAAGACTCATGACTTTTCCTTACATTAACAAATTTCTAACCATTAGTGTCAGCTAAGCCATCATCCATTTCTTTGGTAATCTTCCCTGCTGTGGACATTCCTAAGATGGCCCAATTTTATAGAAAAAGCAATTTACAAATTGCTAAATTAGCGTCTGATTATGCTTCAAAGAAGTAGGCTAATAGGGAGTCTCTGTCTATCATGTGTGAATCACAAACCATTAGTGATAATTAATAAATTAAAATGGGCCAGTTATTAAGTTCTGCTTATACTTACCCAAGTGTGTTTGTGTCTATCCTACGTCCTTCAAGCCAGTCTACTCATCAACTTCATTTAGTAATGTAACCCAGCCAGGCACTAGCCTTAGGAATCAGAGTATTAAGTGAAGGCTAGTTTATGCATTTGTTCATTATTCTTTCCTGCTGTAAGGATTATCTGTCATCTGGTTAATTATTACATATAAACATACACATCTACTTCAAGGCAAATCCACAGACACACAAACGCTTACAAAGAGTAAGCCTTATGAAAAACTAACTTGGAGGACAGTTATCCACATCATAAAGACTTTTTATTTCAACATAATTTGCCTTAAGTCATAAGCTTTCCAAGTTTATTTGAAATATGACTTGATTTATAAAATATGAATTTATTTGATTTTTCCAGAGTAAATTTATATAAAACAGGATACATTTAGGTTGTGTGTATATGTATTTATTAATGATATAGGAGACTTGTTTATAAGTACTGTTCTTAAAAAGTTAGCATGTTTACTTTGAAACAAGGGAAATAGTGGTTTCTTCCATGATGTGAAACATGTAATAACGAAAGATACTTCAAACAAAGAGCAGGTAGTTTGGCCTCAGTAATATGGTCAAGTTTTAAAAATCTATATGTATTTTACTTCATAGGAGATACAACAAATGAGCAAAGAATGGCAGCAAGAGGCAAAACTTTGGACGTAGAAGCCAGCCAACCTTCGGAGGTAAGTGAAATAGGGTAAGTCCTTTTCGGTGAAACTGAAGGAGTCACTATGATTACATATGCCTCCGAGGATAAATAGTAACTTCTGCTCTTGCTATGCCACAGGTGCCTGAATACAGGGAAACAAGTGGTCTGCTGAAAGTCAGTGGATAGCAGTACAGGGAGTGCCTTCCCAAGTGCTAAACTTTTTAAGTGCTGGAAATGAAAACTTTCTGTTAAAAACAAAACAAAACAGAAATCAAGTCCTGAAGTTAAAACATTTAAACTATTTTTAATTGAGTGATTATGTACTAATACATTTCAATAAATAGGCAGTACATAAACTTGTAGAGAAAGGCTTAAAAATAATCCATTCAGCCGGGCGCAGTGGCTCACGCCTGTAATCCCAGCACTTTGGGAGGCCGAGGCGGGCAGGTCAAGAGATTGAGACCATCCTGGCCAACATGGTGAAACCCCGTCTCTACTAAAAATACAAAAATTAGCTGGGCATGGTGGCATGTGCCTGTCGTCCCAGCTACTCGGGAGACTGAGGCAGGAGACTCGCTTGAACCTGGGAGGCGGAGGTTGCAGTGAGCGAAGATCGTGCCACTGCACTCCGGCCTGGCGACGGAGCAAGACTCCGTCTCAAAAAAAAAAAAAAAAAGAAAATACATTCAAAACTCCATTGCCTTACTAGTTCCAGCATCAAAGTACACTCCTTGAAAGTATTCTGTAGAAAAACTAGGGTATTTGTTCTTTTTCACATGAGAAAACTATTTGCTCTCTAAGGGTATGCATGAAAATGTAGTTAGGATACTTTTGAATACTATATAGAAATATACTAACATTATTTAATCACCAAAATCATCATCTTTAAGACTTAAGGGGAATGTTAAGTACTAGGGTGAAAGGATTATCTTGAAATTTGAAACTTTCTACATGGTGACACACCTCTGCCTGTATTCTAGCTGTAGCACATGAGGGTATTGCTGCATACAACTAGAGAGAGGTCAGGGACCTGGCCAGTGTGATTCACCATGGTTCCTTAACGCCTAGCCCACAGTAGGTAGTTGAAAAGATTTGTTAAATGAATAAGTTAGTACGATCATGAGTTATAAGTAGAGAGTAATATATTTTTAAGAGATACTTTTATTTTTTATATTTATATTTTTCACCATGAACAAATATTTTACAATCAAGGAAATCGAGGAAAAATCATCTTATTTAAAACATCTTATTTAAAGATGTGATATAGGAAGTAAATTCATGAGGAGGAAGAAAATCATCTTTCTCATGAAACTGCATTCATTCTTTCACTTATGCATGCAACAAATATTTATTACACTGACTGCACTCATGATACTGTGCATGGAGCTGAATATATAATGGTGAAAGTAAGATACAAAGACAAAGAAAAATGTCCAGCTTATATGTTGAAGCAACTTGATCTCTTTCATTTATGCAAACATTTGGTGAGGCTGGGCAGTGGCCCATACCTGTGGTCCCAGTGCTTTGGGAGGCCAAGGAAAGAGGATTGCTTGAGGCTAGGAGTTTGAGACCAGCCTGGGCAACATTGAGAGACTCATCTCTACAAAAAAAGTAAAAAATTAGCTGGGTGTGGTGGCACACACCTGTAGTCCCAGCTACTCAAAAGACTGAGGTGGGAGAATTGATTGAGACCAGGAATTCAAGGCTGCCAGCCTGGGCAGCAGAAACATGTAGTGAGTGCTGACCATAAGTAGCATCTCTGATAGGAAATAAAAGTTGATATGTTTGGGATTTGGGTAATAACTACCAGGATGGTTCAAAAATCATCCACGATTACTTGAGTTTAGTTGCTTATTGTCTTCTTTTATATGGGCTGCTACAGCAAAATACCATAAATTGGATACCTTATGAACAACAGAAATTTATTTCTTTATTTCTGGAGGCTGGAAAGACCAAGGTCAAGGTGCTGGCAGATTAGTGTCTGGTGAGGGCCCGTTTTTTTTGGTTTGCACTCTGGCTGTGTCCTCACATGATAAAGGGAGAACTCTAGTTTCTTCAGCCCCTTATAAGGTCACTAATCCCATTAATGAGGGCTCTCCCCTCCCACCCCCAATACAGTTGCCTTGGGGATTAGGTTTCAACATATGCATTTTGGAGGGAGACAAAGCATTCAGACCATAGCACTTAGTTGTGTGATTCATTGGAAATGTCTGCAGAACTTGACTGTTTTTCAAAGTTGATTCATTGATAGAAGGAATTCCAAGACTAATTCTTAAGAAAAGATGCTTTTAAGGTTACAATCCACAGAGCTTTGAAACAAATTCATTATTGTGCTACTTTCTAGTCTCTCTATTAATATAGTCAATTGTTAATCATTAAGGCTGGATGTATATACTCATGCAGTAACAGATACTTCAAAAGTGTCTTCTATTCAAGTAACGGCTGAGCAGAGAGGACAGTGTTTGCTATCAGAGAGTTCACTAAGGTAGGAAAAAAGAAAAGTGGAGTGGGAGACTATAAATGAGACCTCAGGGTTAAATCGCAATGCAAGAGGAAAATAATAAAATACTTTTAGAGACTATATATGTTTTGCCACAGAAAAGCCAGATAGTAATTTAACTTGACAGTAGGCATCTAACATGGGATTTGTTATTCCTCCCCTTTAAAATACAAAAATGAGGCCGGGCACGGTGGCTTACACCTGTAATCCCAACACTTTGGGAGGCTGAGGCAGCCAGATCATGAGGTCAGGAGATCGAGACCATTTTGGCTAACATGGTGAAATCCTGTCTCTACTAAAAATACAAAAAATGAACCGGGTGTGGTGGCCTGTGCCTGGAGTCCCAGCTACTTGGGAGGCTGATGCACGAGAATTGCTTGAACCCGGGAGGTGGGGTTTGCAGTGAACTGAGATCGAACCACTGCACTCCAGCCTGGGCGACAGAGCCAGACTTCATCTCAAAAAAACAAAACAAAACAAAACAAAAAGTGAAAACACTGCTGAACACTCTCTACCCTTCATACACTTGCTTGATATAGTAAAAATGAGTCTTATCCAACCTCCTAGATTTAAATTCTGTGTAGAAGTTGATGACTCCTAGAACATGTCTCTACCTAGACCTCTCCCCTGAGTTCTAGACTCTATACCCAGCTGCCTATGTAACATTTCACTTACAAATTTCTACACAGTTCAGCCTCTCCTTAACCATGGAAGAACTATTGATACCTGGCCCCACCACCCTGAAGCCTCTCTGTGCCCAAGTTTTAATCATCCCTGTTTAATATCACTACCCTTTATCTGTATAGTGATTTAGAACCAAACCCCCTTAGGTACCCTTGGCCCCTCTCTTTCCCTCACACTGCACATCCAGTCTATCAGCACGTCCTGCCATCTTGCCCTCTATATCCGGAATGTGACTGCTTCTCAACGTCATCACTGTTAGAACAGTGTAAGCCACCCCTTTTACCAGGCCCCCATTCTTTCTCCTTCAGCCCATTCTCCACATAGCAGACAGAAATATGTCAGATCACATCACTCCTTGGCTTAAAAGCTCTGACTATCTACTGTAACTAGAATAAATGCTAAGCTCCTTGCAGTGGGCCACAAGGAACTCCATACTCCCTCTAATCTCATTTTTCTCCCCATTCCCATCCCCATCCACCAGCCGCCTGCGCCTGCCGTTCTGTCTCTAGATGATGTTAAGACCTTTCCTATCTCAGACTTTGTATTTGCTAGTCCTTTTTTTAACCAGAGCTTCACTTGGCTTCCTCCTTATCATTCAAGTGTCACTTTTCATGACTACCTCAGCTAATGTGTCCCTCCCCCCAGTCACTGTCACATAACTCTGTCTTATTTTCTTCATCACACTTATCACTATCTCGGATTATTCATTTGCTATCTGCTTCTCCTGACTAGAATGAAAACAGACATTGTATGTCTAGAATAGTGTCTGGTACACAAAAGTTACCCAATAAATACTTGCTAACTGATCATTTAGATTTTATTTAATGTCTTTGTCCATCTGCCAGGTTAAAGGCCTAAATGTCATTTTGGCTCCTTCTTCTCACCCCCTCATTAAATCTATAACCAAGTCCTAATGTTTCTGCCTACCAAATACCTTCCAAATGCAGTTTCTCCTACACCAACTAGGTCCTCATCTGTTCACTAGACTATTATTAGATGAGCAGTTTCTTCCCCAAATATCTTTCTAAAAAAGAACAGCGGGTTTTTTATTTACTTCTGTGCTCCCCCCTAAAATCCCTTGAAACCTGCACAATGAAGCTTAAACCTTGAACCCTGTTCTAATGTCACTTCCTTTGTGAACCCTTTTCTCTGCTGCCCCAGCCAGAGACAACCCTAATGTCCTCTTAATGCTTATACTGTTTTTTATGAGTTCACTATAGTGCAGGTTTTTGAAAGGCAGGGGCTATAGCTTAATTAGCTTTATGACCTCAGCACCTATCACACTGTTAGACATATGTGATGTAACATAAATGCCCTGTCAATGATTTCTGGATAGATAAATCAAAAATAAATAATCCACTTGTATTTATTAAATTCTGTTTTCTACTTTACATGATAAACACACAGTTATATCTTTTCTCACACACAAAAATTTTTTCTTGCATTCCTTTGGAGTTACCCATTAAAAAATCTGTTAATTTACATTATTTTTGGCACTCTTACTACATTAGCAGGGAAAAGTTTAATACCTTCAGTTAGTTTTAAATACATATATATACATCTGATTAAGAAATCAAACTATTGTGCTAACTGGAAAGATTCTAATTATTTTAATTTTTAATGACTATATAAGCAATGTTGAAATACTCTCTGTAATGAGAACATAATTAGTAAATTAGCATGGATTCCATAAAGCTTAAAAATAACATTTGTAGTTGCCAAACTATAACTCACTTTTCTAAGAACCCTTTGGAGAAGGTGGCTTTTAGTATACCAAAAGAAGTTTCTTTTGGCAAGTTCAGATAAACATATAGATTGCCTCTTAGTTTCAAGGGATTGTGTTAGACCTG